ATATAGGCTTTTGCTCATTGCTTTGCAATGAGAATAAGGCCCATACAATGACTTAATAAACTTCTCCAGGCTTGTTCACGTTTTCTCATTGACGTCCTGAAGATGTGTTTTGTTAATCACCTTGTTGCTAGACTCACGTCTAGAAGTCCTGCTGTATGGACAGTGTATGTGAGAGATGAGTGTATGGGGAAAGTAGGCTTTTTGAGGGGACTAATATCTAGAGGTCCTCCTTCTGGGGAAAGCTGAAGCATGTCGCATGTCTTCCTATGGAGGTTGAGGTGCAGCTATTGGCATATCCCAGGAGCTGAATTGAGCACCTGTTTAACTCATGCTGGCATATACTTGTGGGAGTATGCTCAGTTTTAAGCTCTTGTGGTCAACATTTGGCTCCTGAAATGTCTTAGAAAAACAATACACTATGGCCTACACTTTGCATTCCTAAGAATGGGCAAGAGGATGAGCAGGAGAGTGAGGAGACGGGAGATGGAGCCATGGCTACCAATAACCTGCTACAATATCTTGTACCTTAGTGGCCAACAGTTATATCCTCAGATATTGCATGTAGAACATGCTATGAGAAAAGGTTACAAGGCCAAGGCCCTGCTGGGAACAGCCCTGGGAAGGAAATGGCATATCTGTTATAATACCAGTCTTACTATGGAGTTCACGTGCCTTAATAAAGCCAAAATGGCCATCGTGGACAGGCAATCTCAAAATACTTGTTAGGTTGTCTAACCAATGGACCATAATTCAAAGGGAAGCCAGACTTGAAAGCTTGGCCCTGATGGGTAATGTGTCTTTTAAATAGTGTGACACTCATTAGCTATTGAAAGTGAATTACCCCAGAAGACCACATGAGCAAAGTCATGTAGATTGCTGGCAATAAACCTCTCTACTCAAAGATGACAAGGCCAAGTTGCCACAAAGAGAAAAGGAAAATGTTCCCAGTCTCTTCTTTCAAGGGGACTGTTATACAATGATGAAGTAGGAGGTGCCTCACATGCCCCGCAGGTACTGTCATCAGCCTTTTGCTGACTTACAATAGCTACTTAGAAGAGAGGCCCAGAGAAGTCCTTAACACTTTCCGTGCCATCCTAGGATAAACTGATTCTGGAAGAGTAAACATTGATGCAGCCACCAGAACTTCCTGGCACATTATTTGACACTAAGTCGGAGTCCTTTTTAGAGAAGGGAATACTCACTTCAACTCAGCTAATAAGTATGAGGGACTATCTAGAACTAGGAATCAATTTGGGACTGATAACAGAGGAAAATAACTGGTATTGACAGAAGTTGACATCCAAAGGTAGAGACTGACTTCTGATGAAACTCAGGCTTTAGAGTTTCTAAAAATGATCTAAAATTGATAAGGATGCAAAGATACAAGAATGTTACTCACAACGGTGAGTTTGTCCTTGGTTCATTTAATCTTCTAGGTTTATAATATGACCAAGAGTCATATTATAAACAGGAATAATATGACTTCTGGTCATGTTATAAACAGAACTTTGTAGAAATCATTGGAAAGTCAAGTCTTGGCTACTGATGGTTTTGTCTCTAATTGGATTTGTACTGATGGGAACAGAGTAAAACTCATGATCCAAAGGCATGAAAAGGTGGAATATGAGTAGGTAATGTCATATGAATCTGAACATCCTCTGAGCCACAAATGCCCACCCTCAAGTCTGGCCATTAACACTCTGAAGGTCTTTCCCCAGTATCCAAAAGGAATGACTCCACCCCCCTAACAAATACGCACACCCACAAAATAAGGCCAACACAGGCCAAAATTAGGCCCATCAGAGAAAGGCTCAGTAACTCTTCTTGGTGGAACCACAGCCAAGAAGCCCATCACAGCCACCATCTCCTCCTCAAATGTCAAGTCCTCCTCCACTCTCCTGTTCGTCTTTTGTTTCTTTCTTGTATGCTTTAGCCTTTTCTTCCTCTGAGTTTCTTCATCCTCTGCTCAAAATCATAATCCTTTGGCTGGTTTACGTCTTATTGACTGACCTCAAAGCCTTTCTTCACCTGATCCAGGATAGAACGTTCCACATGCCTAGGCATGCCCAGGTTCCGTTGATTCTTTCCATTCATATGATCCAGGAAGTTGATGGAGTCTCTCACCACAGTCACAGACATTGCAGTAATGTCCTCCCATCTCAGAGGGTGGGGCTGTCTTGGTCATGACATTTGGAATCCAATCTTGGGAAGACGAGCCCACTTTATAGTCTCTGTGTTACTGAAACTCCCTCTTGACTGGCTGCCCTGGTTTTCCATCCTTTCCACTCTCTCCTGTGAGTCTTAGTTTCTTGTATTCCTCTTTGTGCCACTTTCAAAGAAATTACACATTTTTTAATATAGAAAAATGCTTTATTTAAAAATAGGATCTTTTCAAGAACAGAAAAACTTTATAGACAGGTAATTTAGCTTAGAAACAGTCAAACACACAAAAAATCCAGACTTAGAAATTACGATTTGTAATATATACAATACTGGTGCTGAGCAACAGTTTAAATGTAGAATGCTTTTAATCCCATCACATTTAAATAATTATGAAAACCAGTTCTTTGGACTAAAATGTCTGAATTCCTTTCTCTTATATTCTGCCCTTCCCAGAAGATACAGAAATGGCAGCAGCTAGGCAGTATAATTGTGTGCCTATGATTCAAAAAATACATCTGCACTTTTATTCTTTTCCTATTTTCTTTGAAATTCATTCCTATGTGACAGCAAGCCTGGTCCTATTTGCTTGGGTATCTTTTTTTCCCTTTGGTCAGTCGTGGGGCTTGAACTCTGGGCCCTGGGGCTGTGTTCATCTCTTCAGCTCCAGGCCAGTGCTCTACTACTTGAGCCACAATGCCACTTCTGGTGTTCTGAGTGGTTTCAGACAAGAGTCTGATGGACTCTCCTGCCTGGGCTGGCTTTGCACCACAATCCTCAGATCTCAGCCTCCTGAGGAGCTAGGATCACAGGGCCTGAGCCACCAGCGCCTGGCTGCCAGCTGCCTTCAATTTAAAAACAGAAGTTCTCTAAGGGCAAGGACGTGTGCTACCAGGATAGCAGCACAAGCCTCAGAGGTGATGTTCTTAAGTTACCAACACTCAACAGGATGTTGCTCTCTTAAGACAGCTCTAGGAATAGCTATCAGCCAATTTTTGTCATAGTGTCTTCTGAAATACTTCAAGCCATTTAAACAACTAACATAGATTTATAAAGCAGGAGAAATAGCTTATCAGACTAAAGTGCTATTAGCGACTATACTCCAGAGGCTGTTGAGATTTCATAATCTAAAACTTTTTAAACTATTGTCATTACTAATTTTTTTAATACAGTCACTGCTTCTCAGACTGGGGAACTCTAGGTATCTTCCTGTAGTGTCCATTTTTTCCCCCTAAATATTTGGAAAGGTTTCATTTTTTTTTTTATAATCCTAAGTTCTGTTTTTTTGGATCCACAAGCAAAATCGGTGTGCTTTTAAAGACACTTTTATGCCCTGACTTCTAAGGAGATTTCAGTAGTAACATCTGTATGTATGAAACATCAACAGTGATGTCTGAGGGTGTGAACATCAATTCAGACCCATGGCTCATTCTTGATTCCAGCTTCAGAAATAATGTAATTCTTTTGTAATTCTTTTCTGTCTATACTGATGAGGAAGTATGTCAAGGATAAGATGTTCGGACTTTTACTTTACCTTGTTTAGTAATTACAAGGATGTTACAATCAAGTTTACTGCTTACAACTAAAAATATAGAACATTTAAAAAAAGTGGAATTCATGAAGCAAAGATTAGAATGCATTCCTCTGAAAGTGCTGGGCACAGTAATTGGGAGACATTTTATTCTTTGAGTATACATTAAATCACAGTATCCTTGTTCTTTGTCACTCTTTTAGTTGAACTGGCAAGTATATGGTATCTTTCTTAGTCATTTATTACATTTTCTCTGGGCTCCAAACCCAGTAAGAAATTCTTTCTGGACACCAAAGAGATCATTTCAATAATGTCATATGGGGATAAATACAAACTGCCCAGTTTCAATAACGTCATATGGGGATAAATATAAACTGCCCAGCAACAAGAATGCCAAGTGGAAAGTCAATGGTCATTCTTTAACACCTATAAAGAACAAAATGAAGTTACCAATGAAATGCTATGAGGCAAATTTACGAACTTTATTTGAACAATGGTTTGATTAAATAAGGCCATACAAGGGAAACATGGTACATCAAGTTGTCAACTAACATTTAGTAAATACAGTTAAACATGACTTCATATCAACAACAATCCTAGGTAACTGAAAGGCTATTCCCATTAATCCTACAATTTGAGACCATTCCAACTGCATTTCACAAGGTGAACTCCAGTCTCCAAATCTTTAACTGCCACCTCCAGAGCTAAGTCCACTGCCAGCCAGGGCCTGGTCAGAAAGTCCAAGTATTTTATCCACTGCCGGACACCATCTTCACACAGAAGTCCAAAATGGTGCTTTCAACTCGGGCAATATGTAGTATCTCAACAGGGAACCTTATTTCCTTGGTTCTAATATTCCAAGCATGAGCAATTTTTAGTTTGACTTGTAACCATGAACAAAAAGCAACAGAAGTCTAGACCTTCTCCAAGTACTGGGTCATCAGTACCTACAAATCTTCCAAGAGAGAAACCAAAGCATATAGCTTGAAGGTTCGTGTCTCAAATTTTCATCTTTTTTGGGGGGTGGGGGAGGGGTGAACATGTATTTACAAAGCATCCAGAAATGTGTAGTTTATTAACATCTTTAAAAAAACAGCTACGGAATACAGGGTTATTTACAAGTTTTATGATGGGAAGTAAACTGCAATCAGGATTTCAGATAATCAAAGAAGTCCCATCTTTTTTCTAGAAATGTCAGTAATGTCTACCATAGTTATAAGCAGAAAAACTAAAATCTTAATATATTTTTAAAAGAGAAACTTTTTAAGACTGTAATTATCCTTGGGGAAATGGGATAATTTTTTTCCTTAGAAAGCTGATCTGAAAACACAAACACATGAGTATGTCTTCATTTAAGTACATGCTTCAAGCTAGATTTTTAAAATGTGAATTAGGGTTTCCAGAGCTTTACAAGTCCATCTGCACTGTAGGTAACAATCAAATTCTGATGAGGATGATGTGCAATACCAATCACATCCTTCTCGTGAACTGTCAAAGTTCTCTCCAGTTTGCCAGTGACTGTGTTAAAGCAGTAGAGCACAAAGTCTTCCCCCACACAATAGATCCATTCACCACGAGGAGAGAGAGCACAGCAAACAAAGTCACCACCTTCTCTCTTACCAGAGCTGAAGCTTCTGACAATCTGGCCTTGTATGTTCATGATGACCACAGTGTTTGATCGGTTGCACACCACAAAGTGTTCTGGGTTTTTAGGAAGCAGGATCACATTGTTGACAGTAATGTCTGTCCCCGCAGTGCTGCCCAAGGACTTCAAGGTATTTGAGCATTCTGTTGTCTTCATATTCCAGATCTTTACAGTGCCATCAGAGGAAGCACTGATAATATAATGTCCATCTTGTGTAAATGTTGCTTCATTAACGAAGGAGGAATGACCACGAAATTCCTTTAGGGTTTTCCCAGATTTTAAGCCATGAATTCTGATTGTCTGGTCCAAAGAGGCACTAAGGATCTGACTGCTGTCCTTGGAAAAGCTCAGACAGGTGACACCTTTACCGTGTGCCCTTTCAAACCTCCTTAAACACTGTCCACTCTGAATCTTCCACACCTTGATCTTTCCATCTTGGGACCCAGTTGCTAACATTTCTGTATCTCTGCTAAAACACATGCAGAGGACAGCAGCGTCCATCATGAAGTTATCCTGTGCCTGGTACTTAAGATCCTTCCTGATTTTTCCAGTCATAAAGTTCCATACTTCAATAAATCCATCAACAGACCCAGTGACCAGATACTGACCATCAGGAGAAAATCTAGCACATTCCACGTGTGACTTCTGACCAAACTTAATATGCCTGCTCAGCTGTGTAGGAAACTTTTCTTCCTCCACATCTTTGACAGCTGCTTTACCTCGAAACAGATCTATGGTGGGACCAGGAGGGAGCAACCCTTGGTGCTGCTGCCACTTCAGAGCCTGGCCCAGCAATGCCAAGAGACGAGATGGAGGCACCACATTGACTTCGCCAGCTAAGGCTTGGGCAATGGCTGCTCTTCTTTTCTCTTTGCTGCTTCCTTCTGGGTATGCCTCACCAGGATCAAAGTAAGACCTGGCCAAGAGGTTCTCCAGATGAATGTACCGCTCGGGCTGCGTCTGTCTTTTTTTTTTTTTTTTTTTTTGAGACTTCTGAAAGCTTTCTTGAAGTCAGGCCCCAAGGGACAGGCCACGGTTTTTCTATCTATGAGGTTGCGGTGCATGCTGGACTGAACCCTGGACTACCTCCCCCAGCTACTTACTGCTGGCCCAGGAAAGAGGCCATGGGGTCATCTGGCCTCGGACGTTTCATTCTGTAGGCCTCCATTTCCTCCTCCGTGGGCTCTCGAGTTTCATAGACACTGTTGTATGGCCGCTTTCTCCCGTCCATTTGTAAGATCTCCTTGACACGGAGCAGGCGGGCCTCCTCGGCGTTCAGTGCCTTCAGTTTCTCCTGTTTCTTCTCTTCGTCATCGCTGTCAGAGCTGCTCTTCCGGTGCTTCTTTTTCTTCTCCTCCTTCAGTTTTTCTTGGTGCATCTCCACGAGCGTCTGTGGTTTCTTCACCGACTCTTTGCCAGTCTCATCACTTATCACGCACTCCTCGGCGTTAGCAGTCTCCTTCCCAGCTTCTCCAGGGCAGTAGGAATACTTGAAGAACGAGTGACAGCATTTGTATCCCCATCGGCCTTCTTTCCAGTAAGATCCCCAGATGTGCGTGTGGTTGTGGATCTTCACGTCCTCTTCATACTTGGAGCAGGCCACGGCCCGCTCCTGCCCCTTGATGATGGCCCCATGCCGTGAGTACTCCACGTAGTCTTCCGTCTGGGCTAAGAGCAACACAGCTGGAGGAGCATCCAGATGTTCTTGGCCACCATACTTTGCCAGGATGCTTTCTTTCTGCTGTTCTTTGAAGTCTTCCTTCTTGACTTTGAAGGATTTATACAACAGCTCCAGCTTCGTGGGATCTGCCTGCAGGTGCACCTCCGAGCCCTTCTCATACGCCTCCCAGGCAAACAACTGTGTCTGAGCCATGGAAATGGTATCTCCTGTGTATCTGACGAAGTTATCGCCTGCATAACTCACTTCATCTGGATTCTTGCCTGCATTGGCGTAGGGATTTTCTCTCATCGCTCTAGTTTTGGGATCATAGTAGGCAGAATTTGGATCTAAATTTCTCAAATATTTTGCAGTATCTTCTCGAATCCTTAGGTTCCGGACTGTAATTCGCCTCTTAGAGTCAAAATTCTGTCCAGGCATGTCAATATCCTCTGCATATTTATCTTCATCCTCATCTTCACTGTTGTGATCTTTTTCCATCTGAGAATTTGGTTCCTCTTCTCCCCACTGATGTTTTGGAGAATTAGCTTGTTCCACTAATTTTCCTGAGGCTAATTCTTCTTGTAATTTCTGGGCTTTCAGCGTTCGTTTTGCCAGGTCAACTTTGGCATACTCTTCCACGATTTTCATGTGTTCCTCTGGATTGTAGCCATTCCAGCGATCTCTCTTCCCGTCGTAGTCAAATGTGAGCTGAGGCTGGACGTGATCATCTGGCGCTATGTTAGTCCCAGTAAACTTGGTCCCAACTCGTCTGGGTCTCTCAAAGCAGTCCTTCTTCTTGTGCGTCATGGCCCCGCAGTTCTCGCAGGCGCCTTTGCGGTACTTGGTGGTTATGGAATTCTCTTTTACGCCCCTCTTGTACCATTCTCCAGATGAACTGAACTGCTTCTGTTTCTCAGGTTGTGGCCTCTGGTGCTTTAAGGTGGGTCTTTTCGATGGATCGATGTACCATGGTACTGAAGAAATATACTGAGGGATGTGTGGATTGATATCTTTTCCTTCTTCATCCACTTCAGCAGGAGCATTACCCAGCTTCCGCTGTTCTTCTAGCTCCTTCTTCTTCCTCCAGTCCTCTCGGGTCATCTTCTTTGGTTCCTCTAAACTCAGTTCTTTGGACCCCGACAGGGGCGTGGCATTAACTGTATCCACAGCTGCCGACGACATGGTGAACTGGCTTCTGTATTAAAACAATAGAATGTGTCAGGTAGGTGGTACACACAATCCTGGTCCTCAGGAGGCTGGAGCAGGAGAATGGGGAGTTTCAGGCTTGTCTGGGGCTACATAATGAGTTTGAGGCCTGCTTGACTTAAATAGACCCCAGTCGGGAGCTCCCCACGCAACCGCTCGCCGACAGACCAGTAAACCCAGCCGCCGATGTTTCGCTAGGTCTGTCTTAACATCCTCATGGGGTCAGTGTCTAAAAACTGACCTGGCGGAACCCAATTCTCGGAGTTCTATCAATTGGAGAACAACCTGCTCGTAGAGGTCCATAAGGGTTTTGTCTGGCAATTTCAGAGACTGGATAGCTTGTAAAACAGTATCCCAACGGCCACTATGAATGTCAGCCACGAAACTCTCGATGCTGTCCACTGTATTCAGAGAGACGGCAGCCTCCTCTTGTAAGGTAGCCAAGGCCCGATGTAAACTGTTCTCCTTCAGGTACTACAGGATCAGACGGATCACATCGGAAGACTCGATTTCCATGGACATCGCGGTATCCTTCCCGAACAGGCCTGGCTTCCTTCTTAGCTGCTGCCCAGTGCAAGTCACCGATTGTCCTCTTAGAAAGTGCCCAGTCTTGTGTTGATGGCCGGAAGGAACTTACCCCCAGAAGACCACGCAGACAGTGTCCCTGGAGAGAGGTTTATCTCCAGCAGAGCTGACAAGGCCACAATCCCACAAAGGGAAAAGGAGAATGGCTCCAGTTTGCCTTTGACTCCTATTTATACAGTGCTGGGCAGGAGGTGGGACCTGTCCCACCTGCCCCACCTGCCCCACCTGCCCCAGAGATAGTCATCAAGGGCCCAGCTTAGGTCTGGGAGGGGCCTTTTGCTGACTTAGAAAGCTACTTGCAAGAGAGGCCAGGAGAAGTCCTTCACACTCTTTCTGTCCCATCCTAGGATAAACTGATTCTGGAAGAGTAAACATTGGTGCAGCCACCAGAACTTTCGGGCACACAATTTGACGCTAAACCAGAGTCCTTTTTAGAGAAGGGAATATTCTCTTCAATTATGTTGAGTATGAAAATCTAACTAGAACTAGGTATCAATTTGAGACTGATATACTTAAATAACTGGTGTTGACATCCAAAGGTAGAGACTGCTGATAAAACTCAGACTTTAGACTAGTTTCTAAAAATGATCAGAATGCAAAGATGCAAGAATGTTACTGACTCTGCTCACAAAGGTGAGTTTATCCTTGGCTCATTGTCATGTTATAAACCTAGTAGATTCAAAGTCTTCAGTGCTCCTGCAGGAAACACTGGAAAGTCAAGTCTTGCCTAGTGATGGTTTTGATTCGGATTAGATATGTGTTGATGAAAGCAGAGTGAAACTATTCATGATCCAAAGGCACAAAAAGGTGGAATATCAACAGGTGATGTGCTGTGAATCTGTACATCCTGAGCCAACTATTAACAGTAACTCAGACCAATCTGAAGGAAAAGCCAACAGGAGAAAGTATTGTATAAAGAAAGCATGCCTTGAGCAGTACACCATGCATACAGAGAAAAATAGAATTTAAATCAATCAGAATGCCATTGCTAAAGCATTAGGGTGGGGCCTACTATGTCTCCACTTTGAACATAAACCTGATTAAGCATCAGATCAACCATGCTTTCCTTTTTTACATTCTTACATACCACAGTATTACAATTTGTAACCTAACAGACCTAGGAAGCTGACTGTGACATTAAAGAAGTATTTTTGGAAAAGTGACCATGAATATCCATGTAACTTGTTTGACCTCATTAGAGCAGAAGGGTTAATGTGTCCAGTTCAGGCTCCGTCCAGAGCTGTGGCTGCTACAGCGGGACACAGGCTGAAGCTGGGTACAGATCCTGCGCTTGATGAATTTCTTTCATGCCAGCTGGATCCCTAGTTGCGGCAGCTATCCTCTGCAGGTTGCTTTTCCCTGTCTAAAGGTCCCCATTAGTCAGAAGTCGGGTATTCCAAGAAAGCTGGCCATCCTGACCTTCCTGTGTTCAGTCTTCACGCTGCTCTGTGCTACAACAGGGGCAGAGCCTGTGGGCTACATTGCTGGCTCCCTTGAAAGCTACTGTGCAGTGGGTCTGGCTAGGAAAGTGCAATGTTGGAAGCTATTTGGGTACTTGAACTTGACGTGGCATCTTGCACCTGGATGGGATGGGTATCAGTGTCTCTTCAGGCCTGCTTATCCGTCCAGGGGCATCTTCCTGTTATGGGGTCAGGGGGAGGGGATTCCACATTTCTCCCGGTGGGGATATTACATCCCACTGGACTCCACCACGCAGAGACAGCCTCATGTAAAAAGATGAATTTATTGGGCAAGTGGCTAGCTGGCGTGCCAGGGATGCAGCACAAACTCAGGAGCTGTGACTGTGACCCCAGGGTTTTAAGGGGTAAGTTGCATAGTTTCATAGACAAGCCAGGCAAGGCAGGTTTGGCACATTTTACTTGGTTGTAGTTATCTGACCTTTAAATTCATTTGTTCTTTATGGTAAATATCATACGTCCTAATTGGCAATAGGCCGCCCACAGTGGGACCACTCTGTGGTGGTCTTTAATTGGTGGTCTTAAGGCCCTGTTACTGAGGCAAGCAAGGTTAACAGAAGCAAAACATAGTCTTGAGTCACAGGATCATAGGCAAAACATAATCTTGACTTGATCAGTATGACTAATAACTGTCAATGCTATTGACACGATTACAGAAATTATATTTATTATAAGCTCCTGACTAATGCAGCAACTCAGTGCAGCTGGTGATAAGCCTCAAGGTTATCCCCAGCCTTCTGCAAGGCTGCCAGCTTGGTGAACTTGACGGAGGGAGAGATGATCTTCTGCTTTTTGGCAAGGATGGAGAAGGGACAAAGGCTGACCACTGGCAGCCTTTGTCTGGGGTTTTTCTAACTTGATGCCAGTGAATAGCGACTCAGACATTACATTCCTCCTACAAGTGCAGCTCACTGGACTGTCAGTTGATTCTTTTGGTTCTGTAGCTGCTGACCATTCTAGTCTCTGATGCATCCTCCTCTTCTTTTTCACCACTTGCATTCTACAAATCCTTTCCCTATATAAAATAGTTCAAACCACTTTGAATCCAGCATTCTCCTGGAACTCTGACCAGTATATGGAGAAATTTCTCAGATGAAACAGCATTTTTTTTAACATTTTAACATATTTTTCTCTTCCATACCTGAGAGAAATGGGATCCTCTTGAAATAGATTTCTGGGCATCTTGGATGCGTGTATGAGCTGCTACTTTAAGTGACTTCCTGGTTCTATGCTGCCAGAGCCATTCTGTTCTCTATAGAATGCTATGGCTTGGGTCTACCATAGGCACCCTTGTCACTGGGATGTGGGAGTTTTCGGGCCTTTGTTGATAGGGGAGGGGTTATACTGATCTTGGATCTGCTGTAGAGCACTTGTGTACTAGGCTTTGTGCAAAACTAGAAGGCTCTGCTACTTAGCTGGGGAGTAGCATTTGCAAGTATATTATCCTCCTGCTCCAATCCAGAGACTTGCCAAAGCATAGGAGGTTCAAGGTGTAAGTGCCAGGTGTAAGAACTAGTCGGGGTGGGTTTCCATGCCACAAATCTATGGCTGCAATAAATGCAATGTGGCCATCTTCAATAAAAGGTTACCACTTGTTCACATGCCTGTGGTTTTGAAGGCACCAGCAGGTTGAACATTTTTGCCATTGATAATGGGGTAGGCCATTGCTGTACAGGAACTCGATCGTGAGAAACAGAAGCTAGCACTTAAAAGACCAAATTGCAAGTCTTTATTGGAGAGTAGCTGGACTGCTGGTGGACTCTTACCGCAAAGACCAGCAGTTCTGAATGCAGCTAACACAAAGCTTATAGAGCCTCCAAAGCACAGCAGTTGTATAGAATTTATCCTAACAAAAGTAGCAACAGCAAAGAAAACCAACAAAGGAAACTTATACCTAATACAGGTATCAACTATAAGCAAAAGCAAATCACATGTGGCCACAAGGGAAATCGAAGACCAATTATCTAAGGAAGTAAGTTTTCTAGAACTTGACACATTTGTAAACCAAAGAATGTAAGAATGTCCTTTATCAAGGCATATTGCTGAGACTCAGTCTTCTTCCTTCAGTGATAGTTGTTCAAATCCTAAGGCCGTCAGTCTTCTTAGCTTTACCGGCTCTGCCATCATAATCTTGTAGGACTTGAGAAGGTGGTGAAACGACTCCAAGGTTAAAGGATTACAATCTCCCTGATAAGGGCCGAGGAGTGTATTCTCCTGGGCAATAGTTTCAAAGTACCCAATTCAGATGGTGAGTAAAGACATCATAGCTGGCCCAGAAGCTATGACTTTCAGTTGGCTTAAGTTTGTGATGGTACAATATGGTGAAGATATTTCATCTTGTCTTTGAAGGAGGCATTCTAGTAATTCAGAGGATGGGCACCATGCCATTTTCTTCTTTTGATGTGAATATCATTGGCCTTATTCTTGGCTCTGGGAAGAAAAAATGCTAAGGGGATTCCTCTTGGTTTTCCTATCCTGATCACTTTTGTTCATTGGGTCAGGGCTGCCCTTTAAGTTCTCAGGGTATACATTCATCCTGATTAGGTACTTGGGGACTAGGAAATGACCAGAGTTCTTCTAGATAAATGTTAGAGCTGCTAGAAGGGCCCTTGTTTCTTGCTACGCACCTTCTTGTCCCTCTCATTCGATCAAGGGGATTACTAGCTTGAGATCCTCTTGACAATGGTGGTAGTTCTGATTCTACAGATCTGTTTTCCTTGTATTTTTCTGGTCAGCCAAGGAAATGGGCATAGTTCCCTGTCAGAGGGTGTGGGAATATCGTTGGATATGACAGATCCTTTCAAGCATCTGTTTCTAACTCATCAGTCTAGGAGATATCAACCAGTGAAGCCTTACAGATAAGAAATTATATAATTATTGGAATGGGCTAAGCTATGTATGTCAACACTGGTGAAACAAGTTTGAAATCACATGTAATTGTGTGAACCTACATAAGCTTCTCCATGTGAAGTTTCTGGCCTACTAACCAGTATGCTTGGTCAGTGGGGCAAATGTCAGATCTCAGTTTCCTGGTTTGGGATTACTGCAGGAAATCTGGACTAGGTTTGTACATATGCAA